ATGCAGTAACTGTATTATTATCACAAGATTTTAATTAATTAAAGATAATTGAGAATTAGTTTAGATGTAAATAATATTATTAGTAATTATATCACCTGCTCTATTTGCTCTAAGTTCCGTCGCATTTTCAAGTAATACTAAATTCATATAATTTCATTATCCGCTTACAGAGATCCCTATTACCGTTATGATGCGGCCGCCGCAGCAGCCGTTGCCGCAGCGGCAAATCCTCGAGCCATGGGCCCGCCCGGTGGCTATCCGCCGCGTCATCGAGCGCCGCATCCGCTACAGCAACAGCCACAATATCCATCGTACCAGCCAACGGCGGAGAATCTCTACGGGCTGGGGCCCACCGATCAGCACGCGGCCATGGGCGTCGGCATGGCTGATCTAAGCGGCTGGGGTGCAGCGCCCTCTGTGCCGGGCCAAGCGGCCGCATATCCCGGTGCCGGTCTAGGCGCCTACGGACATCCGCAGGCAGCGCCGCCGACGCAGCAGCAGCGTCAGAGCAATGCCAGCGCCTATCGCCAACATATGCCCGCCTATGGACAGCAGGAGCAGCAGAAGCTGGTGCCGTACGGGGCACAGCAGAACATGATGGGTGCCCTGGGCGCCAGTGGCTACGGCAGCCTGGCACCACAACAGCAACAGCAGCAGCAGCAACAACAGCAGCCACCCACGCCACAGCAACAGCAGCAGCAACAACAGCAGCAGCAGCAGAGCCAGCAGCAGGCTCGACTGCCGCAGCACTATCCACAAGCGCCCGGCCAGCATCCGCTGTATCCAGGTGCGCCGGCTCAAGCAGCACAGCCGGCGGCACCACAGGCATACGCGCACAGTCCGTACGGCAGTCCGATGCAACATCAGCCGGGTCGCGGCGCTCCGCAGCATGTGGGCTACGGCCATGCGGCACTGGATCAGGCGAGCGCCTATGGACAACACGTGCCCGGAGCAGCGCCGCCGTCGCATCATCTAACCGCGCAGCAGCAGCAGGCTGCGCAGTTGGGTGCGCATCCCAGCTCACATATAGCCAGTGCACAGCAGCAACAGTTGCAGACCCAGCAGCAGCAGCAGGCGCAGCAACAGCAGCAGCAACCGAACCACGTGAGCCTAATGCAGCAGCAGCAGCTGCCAGGCGCTGTGTTGCCGCCGCCGCACATGGGCATGCCGCCCAGCTATGGCAGCCATCATCAGCAGCAGCAGGCACAGCAGCAACAGCAGGCACAACAACAACAACAGCAGCAGCAACAGGCACAGCAGCAACAGCAGCAGAGTGCGCCGCCCTACATGTCCAGCAGCAAGCATCAGGGCAGCGCTCAGCTCAACTCCTCGCCACAATATCGTGCACCATTTCCACAGCTATCGCCACAAATGTCGCCACGCCCGCCGACAATGTCGCCGCATCCGCAAATGTCGCCGCGGCCCGGCGTATCGCCCGCCAAGCCACCACAAACAGCCCAGCAGCAGCAGCAGCAGCAGGTGCAACAGCAGCAGCAGCAGGTCAATTCGCCCAGCCAGCACAGCATCCAAGGCATGGTGGGTCTGCCCTCGCCCAGAGCGCAACCACCGAGCTCAGCCACAGTCGGCAATGCCAAGGTCCCAGTCAGCAGTGTGGCAGCCGGCGGCGTTGTTCCGCCTGTGGTCAACACGCTGCAAGCACTCGAACAAATGGTTATGCCCACACAGGCGCATGGGCTGCCGCCCATGGACTATCCTTCGTCGTATCGCAGCGCTGCGGTCATGGGAGGACCACGCATGCCCGCCTCACCCTCTCCACAGCACCATCAGCAATGGGGCGCGCCGCACATGGCGGCGATGCAACAGCAGGCGCCACAACAGCCGCCGCCACAGCAGCAGCAGCAACAACAACAGCAGCAGCAGGCGGCGGCTCAGCAACAGGCAGCGCAGCAGCAAGCTCAAGCGCAACAGCAAGCTCAAGCGCAACAGCAGGCGGCGCAGCAGCAGGCGCAACAACAGGCACAAGCGAACGCGCTGCTGCAACAGCAGCAGCAGCAACAGCAACAACAACAGCAACAACAGGCCGCAGCTGCAGCAGCAGCAGCGGCGGCGGCAGCAGCCCAGCAGCATCAGCATCAGCTGAGCATGTACGGACAGAGTATGGGGCAACAGGTGCCCGTGCCGGTGCCGGTGCCGGTGCCTGTCTCCGTGCCCGTGCCAGTCTCTGTGCCCACACAGCAGCCACAGCAAACAGCGCCCACTGCACCACCACCACAGCCGCCAGCACCAGTGCTGCAACAGCAACAGCAGCAGCAGCAACAACAACAGCAGCAGCAGCAGCAGCAGCAACTGAACGAGCAACTGCAGCATTCCATCAATGATATTGTCGGTGGTAATCAGCAGCAGGCGCAACTGAGCGCACAGATGTCCTCCTCGCCGCTGCATCAGCAGAGTTTGCCCAGCATGCATCATCTGAGCTCTGCGGCGCATCATCAGCAACAGCAGCAGCAGCAGCCTTCGCTGGAGGCCAGTGCAGCTCAACAGCCACAGCAGCAACAGTTGCAGGCGCAACAGCAACAGCAGTTGCAGCATCAGTCGCCCATACATCAGCAACAGTCGCCGCTGCAGCAGCAACATTTGCCCAACTATGCGCAGCAGCAGAGCAGCAATCAACAGCAGCAGCAGCAACAACAGCAGCAGCAGCAGCAACAACAACAGCAGCATCAGCAGCAATTTGATGCATTTGCCAATATACTGGGAGATACACAGCAAGCCCCCACAGCTGCTGCAGTAGCAGCAACTGCAGCTGCAACACAGCAAACAATGTCGCCAGCGCATGTTAGTTCGCCCATACCACAGCTGCAACAGCAGCAGCAGCAGCAGCAACATCAGCAACAACAACAGCAGCAGCAGCAGGTGCAACAGCAGGCGCAATTGCAACAGCAACCCGCCACGCCCACACCACCAACACCCTCGCATCATCTGAGCAGCATACTGAACGAAACAGCCAACTCGAATGATTCGTCAACGCTGGCTGTCGCGGCCAACGACAGCAACAACAGCAGCAGCAACAGCAGCACCAACAGCATTGTCAACAACCAGCCCACCTCGGTGCACGACAGCAACTCGCAGAGCAGCATCAACAGCAACAACCAGCAGCCGTTGCTCTCGAACATGGACACCGTCGGCAGCGGGGGCATGCTGAACAGCAACTCGGACTCGACGCACACCACGCACCATCATGTGAGCGGCGTGGATGTTGGTCTCTTCGACAACAATTCAATGAGCTCGACAAGCGCCGCTGCCGTTGCAGCTGCCTCGAATGCGGCCAATGCAGCGGCAGCGCTGCTCGACAGCAATTCCCAATCATCGAATGCGGAATTCGAGAGCTCGAAGAGCGAGCAGCCGGAGCAACAGCAACAGCAGCCACAGCAACAGCAGCCACAACAGCAGCAGCAGCAGCAGCCGGCAACAGGTGCTGATGATTTGTGCGCCCAGCTGGCCCAGGACGAGAATAGTATTTCGAAGACGCAGCCCGAAACTCTAAGTGAGACAACGTTGCCGGAGGAGCTGGACAGCGGCAACAAGCAGCAGCAGCAGACAGAGGAGCTGCTGGCGGAGCAGAGCTTAAGCGAGTTGGCTGACGAAACGAAATCCGCTGAAGAGATCAGCGAAGACAAGAGCCAAACGCAAATGGACAACACCACGCTCAGCCAACCGCAGCAACAGCAGCAGCAGCAGCAACAGCCACTGGGACAAACACCTTTGGGTGTGAGTGGCATGCACCCGCTAACAGGCTACGAGGGACAGCAGTCGCAGCAGCCACAGCAGCAGCAGCAGCAGCAGCCGGGACTGACAGCACAGACAGCTGCGGCAGTTCCGCCACCCCCGCCGCCGACGCACATGCAGCCCATGTTGCCGCCATATCCAGGCGCAACAGGTGCCATGTATCCACCATATCCGATGCTGCATCAGCAGGAAATTGCCGCGCTGCAACAGCAAATACAAGAGCTCTATTGCATGCCGCCCGGACACGAGCATCAGCATCAGGACAAGCTCATCCGCATGCAGGAGCGCCTCCAGCTGCTGCAGCAACACGAACTGACCGAGCAGTGTGCGGGTGGGCCGCAGTGTCTGTTGTATCAGAACATGCCGCCGCTCTACGGCAGCAGTGCGTTGCACAATCAGATGGTCGAGAGTCCACAGGTCTCCAGCACAACGGGGCGTGGCCGTGGCAAGGGGGCCAACAAACCGCGCAAGCCACGTGCCAAAAAGGGTGACAAGGCGGCGGCAGCAGCTGCTGCATTGCAGCAACAACAGCAACAGGAACTAATGGACATCAGTGGCAATGTGGTTGTGGCTGCGGCCAGTGCGAGCAGCAGCAGTGGCAGCATCATTCCCATACCCACCACTCAGTTGCCCGTCTCCGAGGACTGTGTTACCCAGGGAGCGGGCGATACGAGCGTTGTCGGTCTACTCGAATATAGCGAGAGCATGGGTGATCTATCGCAGGATGTGCATTCGGCCAATGAGCTGGACACCTCCACCGATGGCAGTGGCAAGAAGAAGAAGCCGCGCAAGCCACGCGCACCCAAAGATCCAAATAAGCCACCACGTGATCGCACGCCGAAGGTGAAGAAGCCGCGGGATCCCAATGATCCCAACTCCACAGAATCTCCTGGAGGCGCACGCAAGCGAGCGAATGTTAGCAAGCGTCGCAAACAGTTCGGAGAAGATGGAGCCGAGCAAACGGGCGAAGGCAGCGAGCAGGAGGATAACAAGCCACTGTTGCCCAAATCCAGCGAAGGCGAGGCAGAGACCAGCGGCGGAGCTGGAGGCGTCGATGGTGAATCACCCGACTACGATGACATACCCGTCTCGAAGATACCGAGAGGTGCGAACGACGACGACAACAAAGACGCCGAAGTGGGCGATGAGACAGTGGACTCGGTGCCCGACTCGGCCGGCGATGCAGCCAGTACGCCGAGCCGTCGAGATCGGAAGCGTTCGACGGCGCGCAGTCGTCGCAATGCCACGTCCGAAGAGGGAGGCAGTGCACGACGGAATCGAGGCTCGCTGAGTGCCAAAGCCCTGAAGAAGCGACGCAATCGTGGACGCATCGTGCCCGAATCGGATGGCGAGGATGATACCATGGATCGTACGCCGCCGCCATCGCCGCCGCCAGACTCTGAACTGGACTCGAATAAGCGACGCTCCTCGAGAAACACACAGCGCAAGAAGTACATAGACGACGTAATGCTACGCTTCTCGGATGATGAGAACTCCCTGCTGGTAGCTTCCCCAGTGAAGAAGGAAAAGAAGTCGTCGTCGGCCAATGCAGCCAACTCGAATGCTGGCAGCGATGTGGAGAAGGCAGAGCCACAGTCGGGCGCTGAGGGCGAGGCTGGTAGCTCAGCGGGCGAAGAGAAGCCCTCGGTGGCAGCGGATGACACCAACAGCCAACTGGAGGCCAGCTCTAGCACCTCAGCCGCTGAGAAGGCGGAGAGGCAGAGTGCTAACGAGTCGGCTGCATCGGCCATGTCCTCGAAACCCAACTATGTGTACATCAATACGGGCGACGAGGACAGCATGGTGGTGCAGTTCGTCCTAGCCCTGCGCATGGGCAAGCGGGAGCTGATACCCGAGCCGCCCAAAGTAAAGACACCAGAGCCTAAGACGGAGGCAGAGATCAAAGCGGAAGCAGCCGAGGCTGAAACGGAAAAGGCAGAGGATAAAGAAACTGCTGAGAAGGCCGAGGACAAAGCCGAAAAGGCGGACGAAGAAGTCAAGAAAATGGATGAAGATGACAAGGAGCAAGAGGATAAACCAACGGAGGAGACGAAAGCTGAAGACGAGAGCAAAATGGAAGTGGATGAAAAGCCGGACGCAGTAAAGACAGAAAAGAGTGATGAAGAGACGCCCGAAAAGGAGGCGGAGAAAATGGAAACTGACGAGGCTGCAGAGCCGGAAAAGGCAGCTGAAGATGCAGATCAAAAAGAAAAGGTGGAGAAGGCAGAAGATGAGCAAGAAGCAGAGGCCAAGACTGATGAATCACAAGAAAAGCCAGCTGAGCCAAAGAAGGAAGATGTAAAAGAGGAGGAACTTAAAGAAAAAGAAACCGAAGCAGAGACAGAAAGTGACAAAGAGAAAGAAAAGGACAAGGAAAAAGATGCTGAAGACGAAGCGACAGAGAAAATGGAAGTAGATGACGCCACAGCGGCGGAAGCTAAGAAAGATGAGAAGAACGTCAAAGCAGAAGACGAAACAACAACAGAAGCAAAGACAGAAGACAAGGATAAAGATAGCGAGGACAAAGAGGCAACAAAACAGACTGAAGACGATGCAGAGGAGGGAGACGACAAATCATCCACGGCTACAAAGGATGATAAGCCCGAACCAGTCTTCATCGATGTCGAGGAATACTTTGTGAAGTACCGAAATTTCAGTTATCTGCACTGCGAATGGCGCACGGAAGAGGAACTCCTCAAGGGAGATCGTCGTGTGGCTGCAAAGATACGTCGCTTCCAGCAGAAGCAAGCACAGCAAATCAACATATTCGAGAATATCGAAGAGGAGCCCTTCAATCCCGATTTCGTTGAGGTGGATCGTGTTCTGGACATGTCCGTCCATACGGACGAGAATACCGGAGAGACGACCAAGCATTATTTGGTTAAATGGAAATCATTGCCCTATGAGGACTGCACCTGGGAGCTGGAAGAGGATGTAGATAATGATAAAATTGAGCAGTACTTGCGCTTCAACAAAGTGCCATTGCGCTGTGAGTGGAAGAGTCGTAAGCGTCCACATCCGGAGCAATGGAAGAAGCTGGAGAAGACGCCCATTTATAAGGGTGGTAATAGCTTGCGACCCTATCAGCTGGAGGGTCTGAATTGGTTAAAGTTCTCCTGGTATAACTCACACAATTGCATCTTGGCCGATGAAATGGGTCTGGGCAAGACCATTCAGAGTCTGACCTTTGTACACTCGGTCTACGAATACGGCATAAGGGGACCGTTCTTGGTAATAGCTCCTCTGTCGACCATACCCAATTGGCAGCGTGAATTCGAGGGCTGGACCGACATGAACGTGGTGGTCTACCACGGCTCGGTGACCAGCAAACAAATGATACAGGACTACGAGTTCTACTACAAGACAGATAGCGGCAAAGTGCTTAAGGAGCCGATTAAATTCAATGTCCTTATCACCACATTCGAGATGATTGTCACCGACTACATGGATCTGAAGGCCTTCAATTGGCGTCTGTGTGTGATCGACGAGGCGCATCGCCTCAAGAATCGCAATTGCAAACTGCTTGAGGGTTTGCGACAGCTCAATCTCGAACATCGCGTTCTGCTCTCGGGCACACCCCTGCAGAACAACATAAGCGAACTGTTCTCTTTGCTCAACTTCTTGGAGCCAAGTCAATTCTCGTCGCAGGAGGAGTTCATGTCGGAATTCGGAAGTCTGCGCACCGAGGAGGAGGTCAATAAGCTGCAAGTGCTACTCAAGCCGATGATGTTGCGACGTCTCAAGGACGATGTCGAGAAGTCTCTAGCACCGAAGGAGGAGACCATCATCGAAGTGGAGCTGACGAACATACAAAAGAAATACTATCGCGGCATATTGGAGCAAAACTTTAGCTTCCTCAAAAAGGGCACGACCTCGGCGAATATACCCAATCTGATGAATACGATGATGGAGTTGCGCAAGTGCTGCATACATCCATACTTGCTCAATGGCGCCGAGGAGCAGATCCAATATGACTTTAAGGCACAGCATGGCGACGATCCCGAGTCCTACTACAAGAATCTTATACTCTCGGCGGGTAAAATGGTGCTGATTGATAAGCTGCTGCCCAAGCTGAAGGCGAACGGGCATCGCGTGTTGATCTTCAGCCAGATGGTACGCTGCCTGGACATACTCGAGGACTATTTGGTGTACCGCAAATATCCGTTCGAACGGATCGATGGACGCATTCGTGGTAATTTACGTCAAGAGGCGATTGATCGCTATTCGAAGCCCGGATCGGATCGTTTTGTCTTTCTGCTCTGCACCAAGGCTGGAGGATTGGGCATTAATCTGACAGCCGCCGATACGGTGATCATCTATGATTCCGATTGGAATCCCCAGAACGATTTGCAGGCCCAGGCGCGTTGCCATCGCATTGGCCAACGCAAAATGGTGAAGATCTATCGTTTGTTGTGTAGGAATACCTACGAGCGGGAGATGTTCGACAAGGCCTCGATGAAACTGGGCCTGGACAAGGCTGTGCTGCAGTCCATGAACACGCACGGCTCCAAGGATGGCAACAACAAGCAGCTGTCCAAGAAGGAGATCGAGGATTTGCTCAAGAAGGGCGCCTATGGCGCTGTCATGGATGACGACAATGCGGGCGATAAGTTCTGCGAAGAGGATATCGATTCGATTCTGAAGCGACGTACACAAGTCATAACTATGGAGTCGGAGAAGGGTTCGACCTTCTCGAAGGCTTCATTTGCCGCCTCTGGCAATCGCTCAGACATTACCATAGACGATCCCGACTTTTGGACCAAGTGGGCCAAACGAGTGGACATCGATCCAGATGCCTGTGAACGTGATGAGACCGAAGATCTGGTGCTATCGGAGCCCAGAAGGCGCACACAGATCAAACGTTATGGACACGAGGATGTGATGGAAATCAACTCGGAGGATTCGTCGAATGAGAACAGCGATGAAGAGGGCGGCATAGGTGGGTGTCATAGAAATCATAACATAGAAACAGTTGTACAAATTTTAACTTATTTAATCTAGGTCTACGCTCGAGACGACGCAAGGAGAAGCGCGATCGCAACCGCGAGAAGAAGGGACACGATGAGTACATACCCAGGGAGCGTGATGCCCTGGCTGCTTTGGGTCTAGAGGAGATTCAGTATGGCAACTGGGCCAAGTCGGAATGTTTCAAAGTGGAGAAAGGACTACTTTCATTTGGGTAAGGCAATAATCTTTCTATCTTTTCTATATATCATCACGATATCTGCAACGTCTCATCACATTGTTCAGTTTCATATTAAGTATATAGATCTTACGCTGCAGCATCTTCTCTTCTTTCTCCAAAAGTAGAGCCTCCTCCTTCTTTTCAATATATTCGGTAATACTTGGAGCATCGTATTCCTCCAGCTGGGCACGCAGCTCATTCAAGATAACATAATCCTTTTCATTGTTGACACGCACCATGGCCACCTCCTTCTCCAGTTTGACTATCGTGCGCGATATCTCCTCGGTGCGATTGAGGACATTACGCATTTCCGTCTCCAAATTCATCATGGCCTGCTTCTCCTCGGTCATGGCCAGCGATGTTTTGCCCGTAACACCCTTCAGCCCAGCCATGTGGGTGTTCTTCTCCTCCAGTTCGTTGGTCAGCTCGGTGCGTTTGATAATCAGCTTCTCGAAATCGACAGCCGTCAAAATGCCACTCAAATCGGCTTTGGTTATCAGATCAGCGCGATGCTGTTGACACGTCTCCTGCAACGAGACTATGGTCAACCGCATCGTGCCCAGCAGTGCGCGCGCATTCTTAAACCAGTTGGCCGTAAATTTACGCAATTTGCGTTCCACCTGCCGTTCCGTAGCGCCCTCCAGAAATGCTATATCATTACTGTCGCGCAAAAAGTGTAACAGGAAATTCTTTTCCGTTTCAATGGTCTCCTCGCTGCGATAGTGCAGCTCCTCGATTTTAGCGCGCAGCTGCTTGACCTCGACCATAGCTGCAAGAGAATCGAATTGGATACTGTATAAGTTATTAGGTATATGAGTGTTATGTATACTATCTATAGGCTTCTATGCTATATGTCCTAAGATTGCTCTATGTATTCATAGTACTGTTGTATATATACTATATAACATAAGTACATACCCTATTCAATTTACTGAAGCTCTATGAATACCTATATACTATAATATACCCTAAGTTTACCCTAAGTTTAATCTATGTTTTCATATTACTATAGATACTATGTGTCACCATATCTGAGCTCTTAACATACCATTCCTCTCAATATCGATCACTCGCTTCTCCACCTCTGCTGCCGCCTTTTCGGCCAGTTCGGCTTTGGCCTTGAAATTCAATTTGTGCTCAACCTGTTTGCGTCGCTCGCCTATTTGGCTCATAGCGCCCATGTGTATGGACAAGCTCATGGATCGCTTGGAGCTAGAGTGACGACTCGACTGGGCCAGATTGTCCTGTGGCCGCGTCCTTGACTGCATGCGCTTCGCCATCGAGTTGCGACGCTGACGCAGGCCAACCAAAAGTTTCGGATCATTCTTCTCCAGAAAATCAACCATTATATAGTTCTCCAGCTTATATATAGCCAATTCCTTTTGAATTTCCTCCACCGTTCGCAGCATGTCCAATGCGTCCATTTGCGTTAATTTCACTCGACGCTCCTCATCCGTCATTTGCAAATAATCATCTAAATGATATTTATGCGATATGGCCGCAATATCCAATTCATAATTCTCCGGCTCGATAACGGCGGGCGCTTGCGATTGGGATCGATTGACATTGAATTTCGATTCGATGGTGCCGATGCTCTTCTCTGATATGCTAAACATGATGACTGCTTGCCTTGCACGACAACAAAAACAACAAAATATATAATGGGAATTAAATGCAACGTTTTATTGCCCTCTTCTATCTCTTGCTTAGTATAGAAATTTTATAGCCGAAAAGAACGTATTTGTGCATAAAGTTGATTGTGTATGATGGAACTGTTTACAATACAGAGAATACTCCAACTAAGCCTGCTATGCTCTCCACTAAAACTATTTACTATGATCATTTCCCTTGATCCATAAACGAAAGATACGAAATACGAGTTGAACAATTATCGTAAACCCTACTTAAATCACAAACATAACATCTCACGTAGGTAGTCTTAATACATATATAAGAACATTACGTATAGTATTTTTATTTACTTGTATCTTATCTATGTTTACTCACTGATTTCCTTTACCTTTCGCAGTTGGGGTCGTTGGACGGAACTCTTGGAATTGGGTCAATTTAAGCGCGGCTGGCGCGAAGTGGACATCGAGGACTGTGCGCGCATTATAGTAAGTGACAACTGATGAATCGCAAAGAGCTCAAGTATATATGTATACTATCCCATATAATGATGACTATCATGCTAATATTGAGAAAACTTTAGGTTTTCGCTGAGTAAAAACACAACTTCTCAACATGCTGAACAAACAAGAAAAAACAATGAGTTTTTCCCCCAGCCTCATTGAATCTGAAACTAATCTGGTCTCTTGCTCTCTTTTAGCTGCTGTACTGCCTGCAGGTGTACAAGGGTGACGAGAAGATCAAGACGTTCATCTGGGATCTGATAACACCGACCGAGGACGGCGAGGTGCAGAAGATCAGCAGGGATCATAGTGGCCTACACAATTTGGTGCCACGAGGTAGGAATGCCAAAGGTATGGTAAAAGATACATTCACGCACTTCAACTGCTGCACGGACGTAGAGAGTTATAAAAAAAAAAACAAAAAAATACAAAAAATAAAAAAAAACGAGCTGCCTCGAACTAGAAATTTTTACTCGTATTGTACAAAACCAAATAGAATTTTACACACTATATACCTGTGGGCTGGACTACCTTAACTCTAACTAGCTAATTATTCTAAATCTTCAGCTGGCAGCTTATTTACTCTACTTGGCCTATATATGTACCATATATACATGAATATATTCCAATGGATCTATACTTCTAACTGGGTTCCTGTGTTTTCCACCATGTCTTAACTGTTGCCCAATTTCAATTTTTGTCAAATTCACTAAAACAAAAAATAGTTCAAATAACTGTTTTATATATACGAATATATATATATACACCAATCACTCTATATAGAATTTAGTAACTGACTCGACTTTGACCGCGACCCGACGTACGTTAAGAACCGAATTGGAAAAAAGATAAAGAAAAGTGTGTGTATGTTTTGTTGCCATGCAATTGTATGCCTTTTACTATAACCTTTTTATGATTTATATAATAGCTACATAAGCATTCATATATACATATATTTATATAACCATATACATATATATAACACTATTTGTAAATAATCATAATTAATTTTATTTATTTTTTTATTTAAAAAATATCATGTTCTGAAAAACTTAATGTTACCTGCAAAGTGATCAAAAATATTTATGTAAAAATTTCTGAAGTCAAAATTAAATATGATTTTTTTTTTTTAATAGAAAATGTGTAAAAAAAATCTTTAAAAACAATTTTTTTTAAGATCACTTTGCAAGTCGAACTTGCCTTTGGCTAGTCAAAGTTCCATTAGAAATTTTATTTATTTTGTATTTCACACATGTATTGTTTAATATCATATATCATCTATCATATTGTATCATAATCGCCTTTGTACATAATTAGAAATGGAATATTTGCAAGTAGTTCAACTCATGCATCAATCCACATATCGAACAAGAAGTTGAGCTCCTCTCGGACAGGATAGCTCAACCGATGAGAGGAATTTGCAACTGAATTTGTCTATATTTTTGTCATCGACAGGACGCAATGGTGGCAAGTCCAATAAGGAGATGGCCTGCGGCAGCTCGACACCTGCGCCGGGCACTGCATCGGGCAGCAATAGTGGCAACACGACGCCCGCCCACAAGTCTGGCTCACTGGAATCGGACAAGGATCAGGTGGGCGGGGTCAGTGCCAGTGCTGTGGCAGCGGCTGCGGCTGTTGCTGTGCCAACAGCAGCGCCCGCACCGCCCACTAGCATCCACGATCCGAACCACTGGAGCAAGAAGGAGAAATACGATGCGGATGCGTATCTGGAGGGCGCCTATAAGAAGCATCTGGGCAGACACGCCAATAAGTGAGTCGTGTGGAATCGAATTTGTTTAAACTAATCAACCAACTCGTGGGCCAAACTAACATTTGCTAACAACAACAAAAACTCTCTCTCTCTCCCTCTCTCCCACTGTTTTGTTTTGTTTTGTTTCGTTTAATTTGTGTTAATTTCGTTATTCACGTTTTTACAGGGTATTGCTGCGCGTGCGCATGCTCTATTATATACAGCACGAGGTCATTGGCGAATTTGTGCAGCAGATTAAGGATAACACGCCCATCAGGTAGGCAATCGAATGATAGACACATCTATGAGCATAGTAGTAGATCATTGAACACACATCACATCATGATTGTTGTCGTTGATTGATTGATTGATTGATTGACTGATTGTTGTTGTTGCGCTCTAATCAAGCGTGCCAAGGCATTCGTTCGTTTTTCTTTATATATAAATAACTGCTCACAATTATATTTCTATATATATACATATCATCTATATTCATTCATATATTTTTTATTTATTTTTATTTTATTATTTAACCTATTAATTGTATTTTGAATATTGAAAAAAAAATGCCAATTTGTTTTTAATGCTAGTTAGTCTTAAACTCTTAAACTAAACACTCGATTCTGTTACTTAAGCTCGCGAGTAATATTTCTGCTCTATGGAAAATTGTATGGAATGGAATTGTGCTCTTTGGTTCCAAATTGAAATCGAAATATAACTGAAATTGAAGTGGAATTAATTGAATTGAAATTGAACTAAAGATCGCAACTCTATCTAAATTTTTGGGTATTTGATCGCTTTTGTGTGAGTGCTGCGCTCGCTGTCTAACTGCTCTTTCTCTCTCTCGCTCGCTCGCTCACACACACACACACACACACACACACCTACCCACTCCTTTACTCGTTACTAAACTCTCTCCTCTCTCTCTCGCTCTCGCTCGTTACTAAAAACTTTCGCTCCATGTTTAGAAGTTCGTTCATATCCCAAATATTTGTTCTATGCAACTATTTATTAAAATACATTTTGTATAAATCCAACCTTTAATCAAATATTAATAATACAAAAAAAAAATGGTATTCGCATCGTAAGCTCCAATACTTTTCTCTATCTCTCTCTCTCTATCTCTCGCTGTGTTTTGTTTGTTGCACTTGAACAATTTCTTTTGACGAATTTTCTAATTTGCTAATTTGAATACGAATATCTATATATATATATATATATGTGTGTGTGTATTATGTATGTATATACTCTATATATACTGACTACTTTTGGAACTACAACAACAACAACTTCTACCACTACAACAACAACTGCTGCAGTTCGAAAGCAAAGCAACTACTAGCACCCAATCTGGAAAGGTAATATCTATGCACACACACACACACACACACAGACTCAAACACACACATCTCGCTCTCTTTCGCCCGTTCGCTCGCCCGATCGTACTCCCTCGCTATCTCGCTATATACTGAGGGAAATCTCATTTTATACGTCATATCGTATCGATCAACGAATTGTTCCAATAAACATGACATCAAGCAAAGAACAAAATTTCCATACGAGGGTGGCTTGAAAAATTTACTTCAAGAAACTTTTAGAAAAATAAAAAAAAAAAATAAAAATTGATTTCATTAAAAAATATTTGTATTTTGTCAGCTCACTCTCGTCTATCATTTTTCAGTATTCCAAAAACTAACTCGAAATTTACTTAAGTTGCATTTTGTAGTTTTTGTACTCGAAACTCTATCCAATGTAATTTGTTTTTAACTGTTTTTAATCCGTAGCACAAATTGGCAAATTAACAAGAAATAAAGACTTATATATACATTTTTAATTTATATTTTTTTTTTTATTTATTACTGAAATTTTTGAAATTTTTATTTTAATTAACTTTTTTTCCAAATTTTATTTAACCATAAAAAATTGACATATTACAAAGAAACGACATTTTTATTTAAAATTTATACTAAACAACTCATTTCTATTTCCCCTCATCTTCAAATATATGTATATCTATATATATATATATTATATATATATATTAATATATGTGTATATATATATGTATATACATATCGTATGTGTGTGCATATCTATCGAATCATGCAGCGAGCTACCAATTCGGCCGCCACCAACGCCCGATCAAGTGCCATCCTCATGGTGGAATCCCATTTGTTGTGATAAGAGTCTATTGGTTGGAACGTATAAGCACGGCTGTGAAATGTATCGTCAAATGAGAGCCGATCCAAATCTATGCTTTGTTACCCATGTGGGCGCCGGTGCCGGTGACGATTTGGCCGTCACGAGTTTGCCAATGTAAGTACAAACATCTCTTATATCTGCCATACCATATATATCAATATTAACAAAAACCCACACACACACACACGATATCCCCTCCCTCCATATTGAGCTACGCATAAATAGGTGAACATTTCTCGTAATATCACATAAGCCACAAGTACTAATATTAATCACAAAAGCCTTCGGACCAGACTCTAGCCTTATGTGTGGAAGCAACTGGTAGAGATTTAAGATATATACATATGTAATATAAAGTGGTTTATAAGAAGTTAATTGAACTGAAATAATGTTCTCTATGTAACTAAGAGTTATTATGCCTAAACTTGCTCATGAAAACACATTTAGTGTAAGAGCTCAATAGGATGTTGTGTATGAAGTAATACAGTGTGACCGTATGAAGAAATTTGTGATGCTTAAATGAGAGTCAATATAGATTTCCTAGTGAAAACTGGAGGGTTTTTAATTTACATTTTCATAGACCAAAATATATTAATCATTCAATATAGATAAAAAGAAAATTGATCTTAAAAACTTGGCCTTTGAAAGTAAGGGAAATAAACGAAAGAGCGTAAATACGGCTTTTAATTCTAGAATACCTTATGATTGGCCTGCCGTAATACGGTCACACTGAGCACACAAAGACTTGTGCGTGAATATCGATAAATAGTTGGCGATAACTAAGTTAAATTACTTATCGATTCTTGTTCACTTCACAGAAATGAGGACGATGCAAATTCGAAGCACGATGACGGCGATGAGGTGGACGATGATGGCACCACCACAACCAAAGACTCCGATTCCACGAAGCTAACAGCTGGCGACAACAAGGACTCACTAGATCCAGAGCGTCCCAGTTCGTCGGGTAAGAGCGATAAGTGCGATAACAGCGATAACAATGGATCGATCGTACAAAAAGCAGCCAACGCCGAACTTGGCTCGGTTGTGGGCAATGGCAGCGCCGTCGAGGCGGAACCAGCGGCACCAAATGAATTGGCACAAAAAGAAAAAGAAAAAGAAAACGAAATTGAAAAAGATAATGCAAACGATAAAGCAAAAGAAAATGAAAACGAAATTGATAAAGAAATTGAGAAAAGTAATGAAAAAGCAGAAGGCAAAGCAGAGGCTGTGGCAGTCGCTGACGCTGAGGCAGTTGCTGATGCCGATTCAACAAGCTCGGCAGCAGCTGCTGTTGACGTCGACGCTGAGACAGCCGCTGCGGCCAGCGCATTGGACACTGATCTGGATGTGGCTAAGAGCGAAGCCCTGGCCAATGGAGCCGCTGCAGCGACAGCATCAGCCGCTGGCGAAGCCGTTGATGCCGCTGACATTGCAACAGCCGAGTCTGGTTCTCAATCATGCACTAACGCCAACACAACCACCACCACCACCACCACTACCACAACCACAAATATCACCACCACCACCACTATAACCACCATTACCAATCCATCAACAACGACTACGACTGCGTCTGCCTCTGAGCCAGCGGGTCAAAACTGCGAAAATGCTAACTCCAACTCAAATTTAGGCTTGGACGAGGAGGAAAGCGTCGCTGGCAGCTATCCACCATCGACCCTGGCTGCCGCCGAGGATGCCACCATGTGGCCATCGATGCAGGATCTGAATACGCGCCTGCGCCGCGTCATCACCGCCTACCAGCGCAACTACAAGAAGGAGGAGCTCAAGCAACAGCAAAAGGCCAAGGTAAGTCCCTCTCTTGAAATGCCCCCATTACAA